CCAAAACCTTGCCATGCAGACCCATTACATCTGCGTCTCAGCAGTTCCTTCTGAAGTCAGGTACCTGCACTGAGCCCTTTCCTTTCCCAGGCTTTGCAGGTAAGTGAGCTCCTCTGCACCAGATTTAGTTTTTGTGAACGTCTGTGTCCTTGCCCCAATAGGAACTGCAGAAGCGCCATGTCACACCAGTTCGGAGGGCTGTGGGCAGTAGGTATCGAGACAGCAGAGGAGGCAACAAGGCAGCACTTCAGTTGAGAGGAATGGTTTTGTTCTTTTCCCCCAAGAATAATTGGATTTATTTGTTGACATGAATCTGAATGAGCAGGCACATCTAAAATGTATTGGCTTATATTATGTATTCTATATGCCAAACTAGATGATGTAATGTAATTTTGCAATTGATTGTAGAAAAGCAAATGAAAAAGCCCTTTAAAAAGGCATCTGTAATAATACAGTTGGAATGAAATTTGGTGTTACAAACTCTGCTAAATAATGGCAACCTGTTTATTTTATCAAAAAAGCTTTATTTCTATAACACGTTATATATAGCGTACTACTAAGTAATGATACTTAAAAAAGTCATGCTGCTTTCTTCGCAGTCTGGCAGTTCCTTTACTCTTGCTGTTTTACATGGATAGAAGGAAAGCAGGGTCATTCTGACTGAAGGAGGACTCAGCCTTGCCCAACGCAGCAGTATAGGCACCAGCTATAGTAGGATAAATGGCATTAGTAATCATCATAGTTGACACCTGCTCCGTGCCTGAAGGTATGTGGGTTTCGTGGGCCGATTGGTGAATCTTCATCATAGTGGTGTTGGTAGTATCCACCATAGTATTCATTACGAGCACGCCCTAAGCTTGTCCAGTAGGAGATGTCATCTTCAAATTTCTGCCAAAAAAGAAAAAGAAAATACTTGCTTTCCAAGCCTGAAACTTTACAACGAAGAGAGTGAAACAGAAGTGGTGCAAGAGGTTCCTGTTGTCTCTCTCAGAAATTCAGATCGGTTGCATATTTGTCAAAACAAAATCTAGATCTAAGGGGTTTTGTGACTCGTACCTACCTTCTCGATGGGATTATCAGGGTCCCGAGTGCAGGAATCGCCCTACCCAGCCTCACATGGGACCCACCCCTACACCCTCTGCCTGCTGTAAAGTGCTTAAACTGAGAGCGCCTGCAAATGGGACGCGCACTGAGCGCCCTGAATACTTCTGTTACCTTTTCAGTGGTGGGCTATAAAAACATTTCAATGTTTTGCACTTTAAAGGTTTGGTTCTCTGTTGCCCCATGCCTTTAGTCACGATGTCCCTGACTGCAAAGTGGGTGCAACGGGCTTTTGCTTTACGCCTGTGGTCTTTCACCCCCATTTTGCATGGGTAAAAATGAATGTACAGCACAGCCTTCTAGCTATGGAAATGCAGTAATAAGCAGTTCAATTCTGCTCACAACAGCAGAGGAAAAACAGTGTGCAAGGATATCAAATACTTGCCAAGTCAAAGCCTTTCCATCTGAATGACTCTTTGGAAATATTTTTGGCTGAGATTTGAAAAAAAAGTTTTGCAAAATGCACAATGGGTATGTATGGCCCAAGTCCTTTGCTGGAACAAACAGTTATTTCATTGTTAAAACTGTGTCTTAATACTCAAGAAAACCTACTAAGTGGATTCATTGTATCCCACAACAGGCATCATTTCAATTTTTGAAAAGCACACAGGAACTCAGAGAAGAATTCATCTTATCTGCATGGTTTGTCCTTGTTACCTCCTCGTATTTGCCCCCAGTCATCAGTTTCTGATGCATGAAACTACTTTTCCAGTTTTTCCTGTTGCTGCTAGGGGGAGGGAGGGGGATATAGCCATGCTGTTAAAAAGTCATTTTTGTCTGCATAATGTCCAGGAGCAACAAAGAAACGTATCCTTCATCCTTTCAGGCCAAGCAAAGGATTATTTTTTTAATTGTTCCAGCTTTGAAAATGAGTGCATTCATCTTCCAAGCAATCCACACAGCATGAAGGTCCAAAATGTACTCCAGCTTGCCTGTGCCAATGCAATCTCATTAAATGTATTCATGCAGCTGACACAAGCCAAGAATTCAACATCCACAGTTATTTTTACCTCTTATTAATGTAGAGATTATTCTACATGTGGGACCGCAACTAAAATGCACATTTTTCGCCCTATTTCAGCATCTATTTAGTAGAGCTCTGCGCAGAGCTGGGAACTCTTGATTCCACTCCAGTGTTTTTACAAATTAACCGTCTTAAAAAAAAAAATAAATAAATGTATCCTTCTCATTTGAAGGGAGGTTGGCTGCACGCTACCAAATGGTTTTCCTTTCACAGCTGGGAGTCGAGGCACAGCTGCCGATGCTCGCGATGGTCAGGAGCTGCCCGCACCACGGAGGCAGGCGCGCGCATTAGGTACGTAGCGTTGGTGCAATTTCATTGCGGAATGCCAGTCACGGCCAGCTTGGTTGTGGGTTTCTCAGCATGTTTGAAAGACAATTGATTAGGTTGAGGCTGCCAAATTAATTTCCTGAAATACGATTGATTGCTTCGGGTCTGGCCGCTTATTTCTCAAAGCAAACTTTGCCTGGTTGCAATTTATTAGGCTTAAGTTCAGTAGCAGGCAAGAGCTCCACGCCAGATTTTAATGTCGTTTTTCTCTGTTAACAAAATAACGCAGAAATCTCTTTAACAGATACGGAGCTTATATTTCTGTGCAATATTTGCTACTTAAAAAAAAAAAAAAAAGAAATCATGGCATCTGTGAGCAGAAGCAGGGCAGCTTCGCCCTGGATGCCCCCCACCCCCAGGCTGCGCATCCGCGCTCACAGCCGCCCGCTCTGAAGCCCCACCAGCCCTCGAAAGCCTTGCGCTCACCGCCTCGTCGAAGCCCAGGTAGAGGAACTGCTGGTACCACTGCTGCACGTCGGGCTGGCTTCTGTCCCCCAGCTGCCGCCTCTGGCGTCTCAGGCTGCTTAGGAACTCCTTGGCCGCCGTTTCTTTCACTGACACCTCGGGCTTCGTGGCAACAGGGGCTGAAATTAATTCACACACAAACCCCCCCCCCCCAAAAGTCATGCCAGGAAACTTTTAGTCAGCCTGAAGCGTACTGCTTGCAGCAAGTACGAAAATGCTTCTCGCATCACACCATCACCTTTGTGCTTGGCAGCTTGGCGCGTGTAGCAGCAGCAACAGTAATAAACCCAGGAATCATCGATGTAATAGGATCTCTCAGCTACCCTCATTCTCCTGGATTTTTGAAAAGATATTCTGAGCTCAAGGACAGAAGCTAAGTGAGGAATTTAAATAAATAAACCCAAACTCAAAGAGCATATACACAATGTGTTTGTGCTTTGAGAAAGAACAGGAGACCGGCCTCTGTGTGCTGCTGTTGCAGAAATGGGAGTGAAGATGAGAGGGGAAGTTAAAAAGCCTGAAGCAGCTGGAGAAACACTACTAACTTACTAGGGTGAAGGGAGGCACACATAAAAAGATAGGGGGTTTTAATCTGTTGTGTAAAACTGTAGCTTTTAAATAATGAGTGCTACTAAACGTCCTATATGTCTGAAAATAAAAGCCCGTCAGGCTTTCATAGCGCACTGCTTGATGGATGCATGGGAATGCCCTCAACCTGCCAGACCCAGACATGCCATCTGACTCGCCCCACGCCTAAGAGGCATGTGGCTGCTAGAGGAATTAATGTACCTCCGAAAGGTATGGATGTGAGGACTGGCTAGCCCCCTGCCACGCCTGTAAATGATAAAACGTGGTATGATGTTTGGCTTTCCCCGTGAGACAAGAAGGATGCGGAGGACTAGGAGGAACATCTTGGCTTCAGAGGGTTCATTGCGATGAGGGAGAGATTAGGAACATGGGTGTGGATGGGGATTTTCAGAGTATGCGAGGGAAGAGGCTGGGGCAGACAGGGAAGTTGGGCAGAGATGTGAAAACCATTGAAGTAGGAGCCGAGCAGACTCACAGGGGGAGGCAAAGGACTGCAGCAGGAGATGCAAGAGGTAAAAGTGATAGATGAGTTGTCGTGGCAAGAGTGGGAATGGGAAACAGCAGGCTGCCCTGCAGTGACGAGCTGGAAACTGATAACTCACCGTGCGCCCGAGCTGGGTGTTATTACTGGGAAGTGAGACAGCTGAACACACGTCCTGTGAATGAGCCTCACAGAAGGGACACTGCCAGCCAGGGAACAAGTACTGTGTACTTAGCCTGCTCGCTTTAGCGCGCAACTGGAAAGGGGGCATCAGGCTGGAATTGAGGGGCTGCATATTCCCTCTATCATCAATTCAAGGCTTTGCAGTTCTTCCTGGCCTAGGCCATGTTGTCCGCATGCTCCAAAAGCCTTCCCTTGGGTGGTCCCTCTCATCAGGGGACCTGAAAAAACAAGTGGCCTGCTGCTGGGGCGCAGGGAGGGCGGCTGGTACAAGTGGTCACTCCTGTCTGCATTCAGGCACTGCAGAACAGCGAGGTAGGAAACCCACATGCAGGGAAAACAGCCGTGGATGAGGCACACATTTTAGGGCTGGCAAGAGGTAGAATCATTAGGTTGGAAAAGACCTTTAAGATTGTCAAGTCCAACCATCAACCCAACACCACCATGCCCACTATACCATGTGCTGAAGTGCCACATCTACATGTTTCCTGAGCACCTCCAGGGACGGTGACTCCACCACTTCTCTGGGCAGCCTGTTCCAATGTTTGACAATCCTTTCTGTGAAGAAATTCTTCCTAATGTCCAATCTAAACCACCCCGATGCAACTTAAGGCCATTTCCTCTCGTCCTATCACTTGTTACTTGGGAGAAGGGACCGACCCCCACCTCACTACAACCTCCTTTCAGGTCGCTGTAGAGAGCGATAAGGTCTCCCCTCAGCCTCCTCTTCTCCAGACTAAACAACCCCAGCTCCCTCAGCCGCTCCTCACAAGACCTGTTCTCCAGACCCTTCACCAGCTTCGTTGCCCTTCTCTGGACACGCTCCAGCACATCAATGTCTTTCTTTTGTAGTGAGGGGCCCAAAACCGCACACAGTTCCGTTGACCCACAGGTAGTGGGTGATACCAGGAAGTACCCAGTAAGAAGTTAGGCAGACTTGTAGAAAGTGGGAGTCCCCTCTGTGGGAGTTGTATGCCTCAGCCATAGAGCAGGCTGAAGGAAGGCAACAAAAACTTCTGGGGTGCTTTAGCCTGCCCCCCATCTGCTGCAGTGCTGCTTGTCCCTGGCCAGCTCCATTTCCATCCCCTTCTTCAACCAGCAAGCCATTTGGTGCATCTGCCCACTGGGCCCTTGGCCATCATCTCTCCTGTAGAGAGCACAGTCTTCCAAGAAGGAAGCACACGTGGGGCCAAAAGGACAAAGAGAACAAGTCAAGGCATCGCGAGCAAGCCCGGTTTGCACATTTTCTTCTCTGCACCTGAGCCAGCAATATTTCCATGTGTTATAATTCCTTGGAAAAGCTTGTGACTTCCCAGAATAAACGAGATAAATGTCACATCTGCCACGCATGCACTGGAAAAGGTGGGTGCTACGCACTGCGCAGAGCAAAATGCAGCCTGAAGCTGGGAACCCTGGTTCTCAGAGGGGGTTGTGATAAGCAGAGCCTCCAGCCTTGCCAGTACCAAGTCCCAAATGGATATGCAGGCACAGGCTCTGTACACGCAGGAGGTTTTGGTATGGTATATATCGAGAGCAGCTGTGAGCTACTAGTGTTGAAGTGGGTGCTTGTACCCTGCTCCTCTGGCTGCCCTCTCAGCACTGGAGTGACAGCACATTGGCAGCTTTGACCGATAGTAATGGACTCGAAAAATAAAGGGAAGCACTTTCCTGTCTCTTTACTTACCTTCGCGTTTCTGAAGCAGCAGTTTAAGCTTATTTCCCCTTGAAACATCTAGACAAGTAAAAAATAAAACGCACACATTCACTGGGAAGAAATCACAACAATAAACAAAATCTCATCTCTTGAAAAACACTGGAAGTATTTTTGTCATAGCTCCAGACCACCAGGCAAAACTCAGCAGCAAGTTTCTGCCAGTGCCTCCCTTTGCTCCCGTTTCCACGCTCAAGCACAACATATGCTACAGGGAAGCTTCTCACATTCCAGCAGCCTCTACCCAGCTCTTCTCGGCAAGGAAACCCCCAAACTGGCCTCCTTTACCAATTAACAGGTAATAATTTTGCAGCAGAAGACCACAGCCAGTGCCAGTGCCGTGACCCAGCATCCAGGGCGACACAATAACCCTGGAAAACCCTGGTCGCTGAGCTAGGGGCATGCGAAAAACCAGGGTGCTTAAAAAATGTTGCCTTGCAGCCTATCCCAAAGCACA